TATAGCAACAGCATCAATTAATATTAAATTATTCTAATAATAAATTATTCTAATAATAAATTATTCTATATTAGAAAAATTGTTTTACAAATTCCATATGTATTATTACTTATATAAATTTTATTAAAATGTATTGTAATTAATATATATTGTAATTAATATATACGTATTTATATTTTCTGAATTTATTATAAAATATTATTTGTTATGTACAATTTTTTTGTAAGAATACTGGTAAGGTTTTTCTGCAGTTTCCCTTACCCTTGCAACAGATGTTGGTATTCGTGTGATTGGTTGGCTGCAGAAATTACAAAATAAAAAATATATTTATTTTTACTTATGAATAGCATTCTGTTTCTTTCCACAAACTTTTTTTCTTCCTACAATCCTTTCATATTTTCCTTTAGGTGAAGGATCTTATGATACCTTAAAATAGATACGGCGCTGAGGTTACCACAGAGTTTGCTCAATGCGCGTGCGCGAAAATATATCGCAAACTGCCAGCACTGCGCAAGCGTCGAGCACGTGTCCAGCGCCTGAGCGCCGCATGCACGCCGTGTGCCGATTCCCACCTTCGGCTCGCCGCCGGGGCGTGGGGGCTCCCGAGCGAGTATATGAGCCGGCTCGCAGAGCTCCTCAGGATCAGATCCCCGAGTCGCTTCTCTCAAGCAATTCGATCCTGAGCGCAAGCTCGCCTCCTATCCTTTCCGTATACTCCACTACCCGGACTGGAATGTCTCTGGTTTCGTCGACGCGTGGACTCTTCGACTCATCTTCAGTGACATACGCTATCCGGACTCGAGCGTCTCTGGGTCCGTCAAGCATCTTGACGAGCGGATTCCTAGGCTCCCGCTTCGCTACCTATTTTTGCGCCTGCCGCACCGTGCCGCTTGCTGCATCACCGCGTATCGCGTTGCGCCTATCGTACCGATCTCCGTTCGCCGCGTATCGCGTTGCGCCTATCGTACCGATCTCCGTTCGCCGCGTACCGCGTCGCGCCTATCGTACCGACCGCATTCCGTTCGTTTGCGCCGCGTGCTTATTGTTTGCGCTGTTTGCTTATTGTTCGCGCCGTTTGCTTAGTGTTCGCGTTATTTGCTTATCGTTCGTGCCGTTTGCTTATCGTTTGCGCCGTTTGCTTATTATACGCGCCGTTTGCTTATTGTTTGCGCCGTTTGCTTATTGTTTGCGCCGCTGGCTTATTTGTTATATTGTTACATTACATAGTTTTTTTATTTTTTAATTTTCTAATTGTAAATATCAAACTTCTTTTCTTTTAGGTAAATTCGCAATTGCACAGATGGGAAGAAAATGTAATACGCGGAGGGTCAAACAGGGACAAACTTATATTTATTACAGAATATGTACTAATGCAATTCCAAAAAGCTCTTGCTAGAAGATCTATCATTCATGACATAGATATGCAAAAATGGGCATTACAAGCAAAAGAGCAAATAAACCATCCTTCATTTAGAGCAGGAAATTGGTGGATATGGAATTTTATAAAAGCACATCACATTACGTCACGTAAAATAACAATTTTTAAAGCCCGATCTTCTCATACAACTGATGTAATAATACGTCAAAGTGAAGAATTTGTGAGACAAGTTAAACCACATAATGATGAAATCGGTGCAGGATCAATTAATAATGCAGATAAAAATGGTTTTAATTTAGAAATACATTCTGGCAGAACATTAACTAATGTAGGAGTAAAAAAAGTTGGATCTACTATTCAATCTTTATCTTCTATGAGTCATAGCTATACCACTATGCCCATTATATCTGCAGATGGACATCTTTCACCTTTGTATATAGTATTAAAAAAATATAGCAGATAATTTTGGTCACGCGTAAAAGAAACCCTTTTTAAACCTGTTAATGTTCACATTGCGGTTTCAAAATTCGGAAAACTTACAAGTCAACATTTCAAAAACTGGTTTGAAGAAGTCTATTTACGAAATAGACTGGAGAAATAAACTGGAAAAAAAAGTATACTGCCAGTAAGCAATCTGTGCGCAGACTGACGTCAGATTGGCAACAGAATCTGTCGAATTCAAGCAGGATCTGTCGACAGATCCATAGTCATCTGCGTCCCTAATCTGCCGTCAGACTGCTGACAGGATCTTCTAACAGACTCTGACATCAAATTTGCGGCAGATTGCGCGCAAAGCCTGCCGACAGACATTGACGGCAGATGCGCGCAGATTGCGCGCGGATCTTGTCATTTCGTAGGTTCTTCAATTAAATCTTTGGTAGAAAATTTTCTCATAATTTCTCATAACAACTCATAGAATAAGCACTTTCTCATAAATAGTCATAAATACTCGTAAAATACAATAAAACAAAAGTTTCTCTATATTATTTTTTCATAATTTTTAAGATTTTCTCTGGTGAGATTCGAACTTGAACCGAAGACATCTTTTGGATAATCGTCCGTCGCCTTAAACACTACGCCAATTCCTCAATTGATAAAAAGTGCTTTGTATTGCCCACTTAAAGTTTAAGGAAGAAAAATCTTAGAGTTTGTTCGCTTTTTAAACCGCAAAATATAGATGCAACCGTTTAGCGTATAAATAATGTAAGAGAAGCCGGCACGATAATTCAAAATTAATTTTCTACTAGGAACTGTATAGAAAATGACTGCAATAAAACAACAGATAATGACATTTTTCCATTATGCTAATAAAATACTGTGCTTTTACATATGCGAATTAATTTGGTCGATCGTCCAGTTCAGATTGTATTAAATTTTATCAAAATCGAAGCATGATATATTTTCCATTAAACCATTACAAAAGTTCTATAAATGTTTTTTCCATGGCGAGACTAATATTTTATTCGGTACTGCTGCCTTCAGTACTTATTGCATAATGGTTAAATCGTTCAGATTTAATGACAAAATGATATTAAATAAAATAATAAGATGAAAAATTGAAAAATTATGAGAACAATTTTTACCAGGGATGGCATATGTACACGCACCGGCGTTAATGCCGTCCGAATATCCGTGTGACTCGCACACGATAACGCGTCACTCATACACTGCTGCGTGTAGGTGAGCTAAGAGCAGCACGGAGTGGCGGAGGGAGCTACGGTATACGATCGTCGGACGCTTGGAGAGGGAATAGTGGTGGGAGTCGCGGCGATCTTCCATCCTCTATCGCAAACGTAAGAACGAGAGAAATAGCATTATAAGACGTCTGGACAGAAATGCCGTCCTAAAATACGTGTGACACACACTAAGAAAACGCTTGACTCACACTGTCTCGTCTATACGTGAGCAATACGCGGTGTCCCGACGA